TGGCGATGGTAACACACACTAAAGGGGGACATTCCTGGCGATGGTAACACACACTAAAGGGGGACATTACTGGCGATGGTAACACACACTAAAGGGGGACATTCCTGGCGATGGTAACACACACTAAAGGGGGACATTCCTGGCGATGGTAACACACACTATAAGGGGACATTCCTGGCGATGGTAACTAACTCTCATGAACTATGTTAATGATAATTCTTCTTCTTCTCATCTTTCATCATCTGTAAACTTTGGCAAAAAGTTATGTTTGTTCGTCCACTTCTGCACTTTGGTCTTGAGTTTTGGGTGCACATCCGTTTCACAGATCTCACTAATTTGTGCACCGGCTTTTGGGTCCTCGCCCCTCAGCCCGACGCACTCCGACTCTGAAGGAAACAGGTGTAATTAATCGTCTCCTACGACATGCTTGTGAGGGAGACAGTAGGTAGATTATTTGCTCCCTAAAACTGATTGCTGGAACCCACACAGAGAGTCGATGATAATGATAGCAAGATGAAGGGGACAATGTTGGGGATAATGGTAACAGGATGGATCACTGTGTCGTGGATAATTGGGGGGAAAAAACCCAGATAGACTATCATTTAGATGATGTTGATTAAAAGATAATGTATAAGGGACAATGTTGGTGAGAAATTGGTGACTTGATATATGGAACAATTTTGGTGATGATAAAAATATATTCGGGATAATGTTGGTGATGTTGATAACGAGATATTGGGAACAATGTTGGTGATATTGGTGACTAGACATAGGGGGCAATGTTGGTGATGTTGACAAAAAAAGATATTCGGGATCATGTTTGTGATATTGATAACGAGATATTGAGGATAATGATGGTGATGTTGATAAAGAGATATTGTGGATAATGTTGGTGATGGTGAGAACAACATAAAGGGAGCGATGTTAATAACAACATAAAGGGGATAATGTTGGTGATTATGATAACAAGATATAGGGGACAATGTTGGTGATGTCAGTAACAAGATATTGGGGATATTGTTGGTGATGTTGATGAATAGATTTTGGGGCACAATGTTAGTGATATTAAAAACAAGACATAGGGGATACTGTTGGTGATGTTGATAACAAGATATAGGGGACAATATTGGTGAGGCTGGTAACAAGATATTAGGGACAATTTTGATGACTACATGGATTCAGTGGATATGTTAGTGAGTGGATCTATAACGACGGATTATTTGATTATCTGGAAACAGAATGAAGATCTTCAAGATGAAAATGTTTGTGGAAACAAAAAAGAGGAAAAGGAAGAATAGAAATACAGAAAGAACAAAATCAGTCGTATAAACGAAAGAAGGGAAGAAATACATGTTGTATACAGACGAGTAAAGAAAATGCAATGTGACAAGTCGAAGATAGAAAGCACTGGAATATAAAAACTGGCAATAATAAAGTAAAAGGACAGTTGCATGGGAGACAAGAGTGGCCAGCTTACTGGTAGTCAGAGGACAGATGTAGAAGTAAAGGACCCATTTACATGCCATAAGGCATATTGGGCACGTAGGGTTAGATCTACATTTTATAAACCCGTCAGCACTCGGTCAAAACCATGCCGGTCGCCTTTACTTTCCAGGACTTTATCTGGCTTCCATTATAGACTGGGGCAACCTAGAAGCCATGTCATTTTTTAAGGAAAAAAAAATCCTCCCCAATATAGAGGAAAACAGAGGACGGGTCAGAAGTAGATAAACAGAAAGCGAATTTATAAACAGAACCGCAAGCTTGTGAAAGTAATAATGATCAAAGAACAAAGTCTTAGGGCTGTCAACCGACTTTTGACACACAAAAGCATGCAAAGAAAGAAAGAAAGAAAGAAAGAAAGAAAGAAAGAAAGAAAGAAAGAAAGAAAGAAAGAAAGAAAGAAAGAAAGAAAGAAAGAAAGAAAGAAAGAAAGAAAGAAAGAAAGAAAGAAAGAAGAAAGAAAGAAAGAGAAAAGAAAGAAAGAAAAGAAAGAAAGAAAAAGAAAAAGAAAGAAAGAAAGAAAGAAAGAAAGATAAGAAAGAAAGAAAGAAAGAAAGAAAGAAAGAAAGAAAGAAAGAAAGAAAGAAAGAAAGAAAGAAAGAAAGAAAGAAAGAAGAAAGAAAGAAAAGAAAGAAAGAAAGAAAGAAAGAAAGAAAGAAAGAAAGAAAGAAAGAAAGAAAGAAAGAAAGAAAGAAAGAAAGAAAGAAAGAAAGAAAGAAAGAAAGAAAGAAAGAAAGAAGACAACAGTCATAAAGGGGGAAGGAGAGAATAAAGATAATTTGAGATGTTTAATGTTTAAATTATAAATTCAGGTAGTTTACTGTGATTGCTATAAACAAAATAGCAGGCCTTCATTAGAAACAGTATTCAGCTGTCAGACTGCAGCGAGGAGACGGGATATTTCGGTGATCTTTACTCATTAAAAAAAAATACTTTGGGTGAAACAGGGATTAAATCACTTTGTTACAGCGAATTAACAAGAGGAATTACTAATGCACACAGACACTGAATAAAAATCAATATTCTCATTGCTGTTTAAAGCAACAATAGAAAGTTTCGCTGAAAACATGTTATTATACACAATAGGAAAGGAGAAATAAAAAGAGCTAACTGAATTGTTATGATCAAAAACTAGACTACGGGTAAGCTAGTCATCTGTAATCAGACAATTCACATACACATTGAAAAAAAAAAAAGAAACTACAAGGCGTTACACTTAGCACGGAGTCAATCTCTAAAAAGTCAGGCATATTCCTAGGAGAAAAAAACGCATAACGAAGTTCTCAAAAATGTACATATAACAACATATCAATACAATACACTTTATACAACTATCGTAGACCACGTGACAGTGCAAGATTCACATGATGTCACTGCAGTAATACTACAGCGTCGGATTATTGCTTCAGAAATGTTATCGAACAAGTGATGACATGGTTGATGTCGAGTTCTTTGTACACAGGTTAGGGCAGGGTTCTCAACACTTTCCAGTTAGCAGCTTCGATAGCGACTTATTCTTTCTAAGGATTTCCTAGGGGACAGAAGATTAATGCTAATTAAATGGTTCCTTGTTTGACTGTGTGTTTCCTGTCGGTTGATTTATGGAGCTTGTAGCATCCAGGCTTATTTCCATACAATTCCTGGACCCACACTTCTAGAGCTACGTGTGACTCGGTTGTGTGTATGTGCCAGGGGATTTCGACAATTCCTGGACCCACCAGGCTTCTAAAGCTGTCTCACTCAGTTGAAGGTATTTGCCAGGGATTTCGACAATTCCTGGACCCACCAGACTTCTAAAGCTGCCTCACTCAGTTGAAGGTATTTGCCAGGGATTTCGACAATTCCTGGACCTACACTTCTAAAGCTAAGTGTTAATGGGTTGAATGTGTGTGCCAGGATATCTCGACAATTCCTGGACCTACACTTCTAAAGCTAAGTGTTACTCAGTGTTATATCTGTTCCCGAGGATCTCTGTGACTTCTGGACTGATACTTCTACAAGGAAATCACCCTCATTTTGATCTCACTGCCCGAGGATTTCGCTAACTCCCGGGCCCACACTTCTACAGCGAAATCTGCCTGGGTTTTTTGTATGCACCCGAGGATTTTGACAGCTCCTGAATCCACCTCTTTAGCTAAGAGGAATTTTTTTTTTTTTAGTGAAGCTACATTACTTTCTCTCCCCCCCCCCTCCCCCCCCCCCAAACTTGTTTTGATGAAGACTGTCTTTTAAATGTGATCATTTCAATTGCATTGATCGATTCATCGCCTAATGGTCTTATTTCAAATGTAATCCTAGGACACGTTCATTTAAAATAGATTTGTAATAAATTGTCGTTTGTAGGAAAGAGAAATTTCAGTTCCAGGATCTGTGAAAAACAAACAACACGTGTCAGAGAATCTTACTGTAACAATGACTAAGCACAAGCAGGTTTAACTGTGCAGTTAAATAAGGGAGACAACACCACTTACTTACTGAGCCTCTGGCAATTAAGGAATGAGTTGACACATAAAACATCTTAAATATTTGAGCAAAAAAAAAGGGGGGGAAGGGGAGGGGGGGGGGGGGAGCACATACAAACAAACGTTTCTTCTAAAGTTTTTATCAACGAACCAAACAGAAAGACTACTTTGGTATAAAACAGACTCGCACGAGACGTGCGGTTGTATCGTGGTTTTGTAGCAAGCGTCTGTGGTTTCTCAAGATTGTCAGAAACGGCTTGTATTTATGATGTGTTTCGTTTTGCTGAGTTTGCTAGTAAAGTCTGCTTGTATTCGTTCCTCAGTGTGACTTGACCAACAGTCACCCATGTTCTCGATACCATTGGCTATCATGAATGGCTTCCTGTGGCACTGCGGGGAGCACAGGGTAGCGTGTCAGTCTCTCAGATTTGGTTCAACCCCAGGTAAGGCAAAGGTTATTTCTAGAAATGTCAGAAAATAATCAGAGAATGATAACACAAAAAACACGCTTTAACTACGGAGGACTGGAGCATATCCAGGCCTGCAAATCCTCTTGTAGACAGATGTTACACACATATACTTGTGAATGCACATCATGAGTGATATCACACACCTGTGTTTGCAAATAATGTGTGATTAAGTACAAACTATCTACTTCGGCTGTGATCTTTCCATAAACAATACATCCTTAATTCGAACTATTGCCACTTAAAATCACATTCGGGATTCAGAGCCAGAAAAGAATTACAGTCAAAAAAAGATGCACTTGAGCCTATTACATTTAAAAAGACAACACGGTTACAAATTATCATTGTACTAGATTGTAAGATACATGGGCCTGTGTGTTATTTGGTCAGTATTCTCAGACCACGCGAACATGCTATTAGAAAATAGTTTGGTCACCAAGATCAACAGTTCGTCACAAATAAGCTCCATTTATTGTAGACAGGAATGGCGTTCTTTGTGCAGAAAATGTTACCTGACTTGTGAACACTAGTCACAGATATCTAGCAATTTTAGCATCATATACCAGGCAGGTCCCAATGAAACATGTCCCAATGAAACATGTCCCAATGAAACATGTCCCAATGAAACATGTCCCAATGAAACATGTCCCAATGAAACATGTCCCAATGAAACATGTCCCAATGAAACATGTCCCAATGAAACATGTCCCAATGAAACATGTCCCAATGAAACATGTCCCAATGAAACATGTCCCAATGAAACATGTCCCAATGAAACATGTCCCAATGAAACATGTCCCAATGAAACATGTCCCAATGAAACATGTCCCAATGAAACATGTCCCAATGAAACATGTCCCAATGAAACATGTCCCAATGAAACATGTCCCAATGAAACATGTCCCAACAGCTTTAAAACAAGCATATGAAAAGTACATTGGCAGTTATAAAAGAATTAAACAAACAGCCGTTAGGAAACAAGCATATAGGATCGTCAGACGGATGCACTTACCATAGGCAATCGGATACACACCTGACTGTTTAAGGAGAGGGCGGGCAGTAGTTCCTAAAAAGATATAGGGCAGGAAACCATAGCATAGAAGAAATACACAGTTTTTAGACGCTCGGCCTACAGTTGCCATATGTTCATGAATGACATGTGGTCGAACCATTAAGATAAGCTCCCTCTCTCTCTAGGGGGCAAGGGTTCCAGACTGATACATATGTCATGGCAGTTGTGGTCAGATAGCTCAGTTAGCAACTATAGGACATACATGTGTCATTTGATCATGCCTCACAACACAGAACACAACACAACACACAACACACACACACACACACACACACACACACACACACACACACACACACACACATAAAATATCACCGATATTAGTCACAATTAAAAAAAAATGTCAAACAAACAAACAAAAACAGCTAGTGATCGTTCATATATAAATCACAAATGCCAAACAAGACCACATAAAACTTGTCAAACAAATTAAAAAGCGTGGTTTGTAAACATTAATCACAGATATCGGACAAGATCACACAAAACACTATTAAACCAGTAACAATGACTAGTGGGCCTGCAGATATGTGTCACATATACACAACAAGATCACACAACAATTTGTTAAACAAATAAAAAGTGATCTTGCAGATATAAATCACAGACATATGACAAGATTAAAGACAATGTTGTTGAAAACATATAATGTGAGTGATTGGGCAGCCTTTATCACAGACCTCCTACAAGATCAGTATCGTCATTATCAGAAACATAGGAGCCCTTGTGCTAGCCTATCCATCTTTCAGAGAAACACAGGAGCCCTTGTGCTAGCCTATCCATCTTTCAGAGAAACACAGGAGCCCTTGTGCTAGCCCATCTATCTTTTAGAGAAACACAGGAGCCCTTGTGTTAGCCTATCCATCTTTCAGAGAAACACAGGTGCCCTTGTGCTAGCCTATCCATCTTTCAGAGAAACACAGGTGCCCTTGTGCTAGCCTATCCATCTTTTAGAGAAACACATGTGCCCTTGTTCTAGCCTATCCATTTTTTTTAGAAAAACACAGATGCCCTTGTGCTAGCCTATCCATCTTTCAGAGAAACACAGGTGGCAAACCCAAGCATATGGATCTTTTTAAGAAACACAGGTGCCACGTCCTAGCTTATCCATCCTTCAAAGTATGAGCCCGGGATTTCTTCCATGTACGTGCTTGCTGGATGTCCAAGTTTTTCCGCGAAAGATGCTCTTCAAAAGTTAAACATTCTTGTCATGGGATGGAGTTGTATCATTAAATATTGGAAACGTGTGAAGGAAATGTAAGCAGTCAGGAACTCATCTAGACTAGATCAGGAACTCATCCTGTGTGTGTTGTGCTCAATCAGGAACTCATCTAGACTCATGCTCAATCAGAACTCACTAGACAGTATCTGTGTGTTGTGCTCAATCAGGAACTTATCCTAGACAGTATCTGTGTGTTGTGCTCAATCAGGAACACATCCTAGACAGTATCTGTGTGTTGTGCTCAATCAGGAACTCATCCTAGACAGTATCTGTGTGTTGTGCTCAATCAGGAACTCATCCTAGACAGTATCTGTGTGTTGTGCTCAATCAGGAACTCATCCTAGACAGTATCTGTGTGTTGTGCTCAATCAGGAACTTATCCTAGACAGTATCTGTGTGTTGTGCTCAATCAGGAACTCATCCTAGACAGTATCTGTGTGTTGTGCTCAATCAGGAACTAATCCTAGACAGTATCTGTGTGTTGTGCTCAATCAGGAACTAATCCTAGACAGTATCTGTGTGTTGTGCCGAATCAACGTCTGGTTTACATATAGAAATACCTCTTAAGATTTGTATTTTTGTAGCGCTGAAACAAATTATGCCTAAATAGGTAGCGAGTACTGGGTACCGTTGAGTACCGTCAGAAAAACAAAACTGTGTATATTCTGAAACAGCAATCCCAAAAGACCTGAACATCACGAAAGTTTGGATAGTTAACAACATCTTGTCTCGAAAACCGAAATATGTTGACTATATCAAGCCCACGGATGATTGGACAGTATAAAAAACAGAAAAATGGAGAGAAGAGGAATAGAGCAACGTTCTGTTAGGGCCTGCTACATGATGTCTGTATCAGATATTTTGGTCTAAGTACCGGCACCAAAGCTGTAGGTACCAGCCCCTTTTTTAAAAGACACATTGTGGTGGGTTCTAGCATTTTTTTTTTTTTCTGGATACAAACCAACAGATTGGTTCAATTCAAAGATTGGTCCAGTTTAGAGATTCGTTCAGTTCAAAGATTAGTTAAATTCCAGACTGGTTCAATCCAAAAACTGGTTCAATCCAAAGATTGGTTCTATTCAAAGACTAGTTCTATTCAAAAATTAGTTAAATCCAGAGGTTGGTTCAATCCAAAGATTGCTTCTATTATAAGATTGGTTCGATTCAAAGACTGGTTCTATTCACAGTTTGGTTCAATCAAAATATTCGTTCAGTTCAAGGATTATTTCAACTCCATAAATGGTTCTATTTAAAAATTAGTTCAATCTCAGACTAGTTCAATCCAAAGATTGGTTCAATCAAAGATTGCTAACCTGCTTCCCAACATATCACTCAACTATTTTAAGTGACCTTACAGTTATCCATAGAACATAAATTACCGTGCTTGTTTTCTTCAGCCTTCCACGCTTCTAGAAGAAATTTACACTTGGAGGAAGGTAGGTAGTTGTACACCACCAGGGCATCACACAAGCGATAAACACCCAGTGACACAAAGTGCCACCATGCGGATGAGGATCACCCGTGGAGAGGTCCCAGAAACCCCTTTCAGCCGTTAGGCCATATTTATGCCCCGGCTATATTCAGGGCCCCCGACAGGATCCAGGGCTGGTCTTCAAAAAACGAAAAATTGCATTCCACATGGAAATGACGTACAAAACATTCCTTTAAATGCTGCTTTGCCTTCTAATAGATTTTTTAAGGCCATTCGTAGACACAGTTCGTAAATGGACCCCACAGATACGTCTGTCGACATGTTTGCGTTGGAAAGGGTACAACAAACATTGCTGCTACACATTTGGTGAGCACAACAGCTGGACATCCATTAAGGCTGTGCAATGTTTATAGAAATATCCACAGACGCGTTAACAGAGATTAGGGTCAATTATCAGGGGATGTAACTCATATTGTTCTTGCTTTGATAAAGAAGTGATTAAAAGTCAGTTGTCTCCCTCTAACTCAAATATGATTTCAAATATATATCTTCACTTCTTGCTGTAACTATCTATAGAAACATGTTCTTAATGTAACTGTCTGCATGAGTAGCTGTTCTTGTTGTAATTATCTACAATGACTTGTTCTTTTACAATTCTGCAGTGGTACCTTTTAGGTTGTAACTATCTATAACAGAGCATGTTCATTTTGTAACTTATCTACAACAGAGCAAGTTCATGTTGTCAACGATACACAACAGAGCATGTTTCTTGTTGTAACTACCTACTGCAGAGCATGTTATTGTTGTAACTATCTACAACATATCAAATTCTTACTGTAACTGTCTACCACAGAAATAGTTCTTGTTGTAACTACCTACAACAGATCATGTTCTTTTGATAACTATCTATAACAGAGCATGTTATTGTTGTAACTATCTGCAATAGAACATGTTCTTGTAACTTTTTGGAACAGGTTTTAATAGTAATTATCTGCTATAAAATATTTGTTGCTGCTGTTACTATCTATACAAGAAGCATGTTCTTCCAGCTGTGACATTCAGTGAAAGAACAAGTTTTTGTAGCTGTAACAGTCAGTAAAAAAACAAGTTTTTGTAGCTGTAACAGTCAGTGAAAGAACGAGTTCTTGTAGCTGTAACACTCAGTGAAAGAACAATGTTCTTATAGCCGTTACATCAGCGAAAGAACAAGTTCTTGCAGCTGTAGCAGTCAGTGAAAGAACAAGTTCTTATAGCTGTAACATCAGTGAAATAACAAGTTCTTGCAGCTGTAGCAGTCAGTGAAAGAACAAGTTCTTGTAGCTGTAGCAGTCAGTGAAATAACAAGTTCTTGTATCTGTAACAGTCAGTGAAAGAACAAGTTCTTGTATCTGTAACAGTCAGTGAAAGAACAAGTTCTTATAGCTGTAACATCAGTGAAAGAACAAGTTCTATAGCTGTAACATCAGTGAAAAAACAAGTTCTTGTAGCTGTAACATCAGTGAAAGAACAAGTTCTTGTAGCTGTAGCATTCAGTGAAAGAACAAGTTCTTGTAGCTGTAACATCAGTGAAAGAACAAGTTCTTGTAGCTGTAGCATTCAGTGAAAGAACAAGTTCTTGTAGCTGTAACAGTCAGTGAAAGAACAAGTTCTTGTAGCTGTAACAGTCAGTGAAAGAACAAGTTCTTGTAGCTGTAACAGTCAGTGAAAGAACAAGTTTTTGTAGCTGTAACAGTCAGTGAAAGAACGAGTTCTTGTAGCTGTAACATCAGTGAAAGAACAAGTTCTTATAGCTGTAACAGTCAGTGAAAGAACAAGTTCTTGTAGCTGTAACAGTCAGTGAAAGAACAAGTTCTTGTAGCTGTAACAGTCAGTGAAAGAACAAGTTCTTGTAGCTGTAACAGTCAGTGAAAGAACAAGTTTTTGTAGCTGTAACAGTCAGTGAAAGAACGAGTTCTTGTAGCTGTAACAGTCAGTGAAAGAACAAGTTCTTGTAGCTGTAACAGTCAGTGAAAGAATGAGTTCTTGTAGCTGTAACAGTCAGTGAAAGAACAAGTTTTTGTCAGTGTACATACTGACAATGATGCTGTTACTAAAATGATGATCTTCTACACAAACCCTGAATGAACAAACACAATGGTGTCCCATTCCTCAATGTGGAAGGACTCGTCTTCCACCAG